CCAAGACATCACAAGGATCCCCTCCAATAATGAGTCCTGAGCTTGAGTTACATACTGTAAGACCTTCAGAGCCCAAGTAAGGGTTCAGACAGAGCACACAGAGACAGCAGAAACTGAAGGAAACATACAGTAGCACCACAGCACCCAGGAGAGGACTTGATAACCAAGGACTCTACAGAAATCAGTGGAAGCAGGCCCCGGCACTGTCCCCCCTCTACCCAAAACTGGACTTTTGACCAATGGGGGAAGGAATGAGGGATTAAAGTTTTCAGGATGACTGGGACCATCAGTATGCCTAAAACCATGGAGTTTCATCCTTTGTTTGGTGTTGTAGAAGGAAGCCCACATTTGTGGGAGCAAATGGGTGTTAGCACTTTTATAAGTGCTAGGTGGCATAGTTAGCTACAAAATCTAAAATTATCAAGCATTTAGAGGTTAACATCCATTACATAACATTTGTGAGATTAGACAATACTGACCATTTTGAACATGTCTTTTGACAAAAAATAAACTGACAATGTAATAAAAGAGCCTGATAAAACAAGTTATGAAACACATTGCAAGGTTGATACAGTATATAATCAGGAAATGGAATTTTGATAACACAGCTAACATCTAGTCTTTTAAAATAGTTTTACAATGTCTGTGTAAATATCCAGGTCTATTTTTCCAGATGTATTGTACTGAGTAAACTGCCCTTGGTTCTTTGTTTCTTTTGAAGTACCATTTTCTGTTTATTGTTTTCTGATGTAAAGTTTGACTAGGCTTATTCCTAATCCAAGTGATAGAATTGCAGGATATTGTGTGCAATAGAAGCATGCTCTTTACATTTGTGTTTTGGCTTCTTGTTAAGGCTAGGTTTTTGTCTTACTATTTTCAAATTATATTTTAAATTTAATCTCATACAAGCCTTTGTTTCTCAGTGCATAATCCCTTGTCTTTGTTCCTTTACCTGAACCAGCTGTCATTGTATTCTAAAGAGAATTACACACAGAAAGCTCAATGTTCTATAACGGTAATATTTTTAAATATTGAACCTTTGGAGAACTCTCAGTTGAAACTCAGCTGTGTCAATTTCTTTGACATAAAAGTTTAATTCATTAACATGTTTTATTTCTGTGGCTTCTATTTTATTTGAATACTGCAAAACATTTGTAAATACAATATACATTACAATTCAGTTATTTGACTATAGAAATGGCAACAACTGAAACATAAAAAATCGCCTGGTGATTTCCATATATGCACATTGCACTTTCTTTTGTGTTTATTCTTAATAAAAGAAAAGAGATTTAAGAAATATCCCCCTTAGTTGTATAAGAAGATTATCTTAAATTGCATATAATGATTTTAAGACAGCCAGGAAACATGCTTTTATGTTTTAATCAAACTTAATGAAGCCTTTGTGAATGATCTAGTTGTCATTTTTCCAAACCATTACATTGCAAAAAACTGTTGGAATTTGTGGTAAAAAACATGGACCCTGTAAAAAAGATTTTTTTCTGGTCATTCAGCATACTATATACTGAGTATCAAAATAAATTTATCACTCTACTTCTTCAAGAAGTGAATGAATAAATAAAATACTGTAAATTAATTTTGGGTATAGATCAACTGTTCCTGGCATCAGTTATTGATTATTGATATAATCAAGGAGTTTTTACTGCTGCATAAGCTGTCACGATCGCTAACCCCTCCTCTTAAGGGCGCTCCAGCCCTGCCTCGTTCCCTCCCATTTTCAGAACCTGTTCCCTATTCCCGCTCCCCCTTAAAAGCCAGACGCGGACCTCACTCCTGGTTCCTCATTGATTTCCCCATCATGAGAGCCCGGGGTCCTGCTGCGTCTGGCTCCATTATGGTTTTAATCTTCTGTTCCTGATTCCCCTCCCTTCGCCGGTCCCGACCCGGTTCGTGTTTTAACTCCCTGGATGGATTCCCTGGCCTTGAACTCTACCCTTTGTCCCGGATTACTCTCTTGGATTTCGCCTTGTTTGTTCGCCTGGATTCACTCCCCCTGGAAACCTGCACTGCATGGACACGCCCCACTGTCTTCAGATCCTACTCCCGCATGAACTTTTCCCTCGTGTATCCCCACCTACCGGATCATGTCGTCTGCATAGGGCCCGGAAAGAACTGTACGTGACATAAGCACTAAATCACCTTTAGTGAGAAATCTAATCAGGCTCAGTTGAGGTGATTTAACCAGTTAAATGTCAAAATTGGTGTAAGTCATGAAATAGAAAATAGTGACCAATATGTTTCACTCATCAAGACAAAAATTCCCTTATGCTGTCCATTGGTCGAAGCTGGATTAAGTCAACACACTTGCCATCTAGAATGTTTTTAACTTCACAGGACATTATAGTCAAACAGTCCTAATGTTTAGGTTAGGTTTAGACTAATGTTTATCATAATCCATTATTTAGGAGACCATGTGTCACAACACACAGATTCATATCACCCATCTTGATACTACAACATTTTTAGAAGGCTAATACTACTGTAGTTCTCATGCTAGAATGTAGCGATAGAGATAACCCACTTTCCAGAATTGATCCCAACTAATTTAAAACATTTGAGCAGAAAATAAATTAGCTAATTATTCCAATCAGGAAACCTATTAGTTCAATTAAGGATTCAATGTACTAGAATAAAAACCAGACAACATGTGCTCCACTATATACAGTACAGGAAGGGTTGGGAGTCCCCATGTTAGAAGACAGTTTGAATCAGATAACGCATTTGCAATAAGATCTCTTTGAGCGATGTTTCACTTATCATGGGTACTGAAACAATGTGACTATTCAAAATTATAGGAACAAACAAGGAATGTTCCCTTTTTGTAACTGGGTGTCAGCTGGTACCCTTAAGGAAGCTACAGCTTTAATGAGTGGGTAATTTGATAAGCTACAGCTGTGGGTATTGCATTGAAATGCAGAATACTTTCCTGTATTGATGTGTGCCCTGGATGACTCATGACCAATGAGTTAATGGGTTTGTGTGTAGGTGCAGCACTTAAACCCATTCACTCATGGGTGGCATGACTGGGGATGCTGTCAGCCTAGGGATGACATGGAGGTGGAGAGGTGGGTGGAAGGAATCAGCGCTGTCCACCAGTGCTGTGGGAGAGAGTCTAGGGTATAAGGTAGACTTTATACAGCAAAAGCTTTTAGCTGCAATCACCTGCAAGGTAACAAGTCAGGATAGTGCAGAAACCTGCAACCAAGTGTGAAGAAAGTATGGGAAAATGGCAAGTAAAGGAGACCACAGTCTTCCCTGGAAAATAAACAATGGATGAGTGCTAGGAGTCCAAAGTGATCCCAATATGGGTAACCAGAAGACCACGGCTAGTGAATATACTGTGGACCTGGCAGCGTGGAGTTTATTCACTGCTGGACTGCAGAAGGACCTCTCTCCTGACCTGTCATGCCAGATTGAATAGTAAAGTTGGAAATACCATGTACAGACATGTTTGCAATGAGCTCATCTTATGGGTTAGGACCTATGTCTGTTAATCATTTTCACAGTTTCTGTATACCTTTTTTCTTTCTCTATATTGTATTTAAATTCCCTTAAATTAGTTCCAGCATCCACTCATTTTGCACCACTGCGAGGTACCTACAGTATATATATATACACTGTATGTATATAATTGCATGTCACTTGGATTGTGTAATGTCAGTTGTATTACAAAGTGAATTAAATTGTTTATTAAATTAAATGATTTCCTTCACTCGGGATGGGATACCACTTCAAAATAACAATTGTAATTTCCGAAAAGGTGGAAAATGGAGTTTTAATTGGGTGAAGTGTTCTTTGAGGTACTGTAGATGTTGGAAGCATCGGGTGAGTTCTTTCCCCTAACATGGTATTTTATAGATTCTTCGGTTTTGGTGAAAATTAATTTTTTATCATGTGATTTCTCATATGTAAAGGTTTTTATGTATTTCTGGATGTGCAATATTGTCACAAGATTTTGTTGAGAAATTGTACAACTGTGCTTATGATGATTTATGGGGTTTTATCTGCAGTTGTACTTAGTACATGCCAGAAAAATGGTGACAAAAGATATTTATTTTAAATATAGTTGCAATATGGGCTCATCTACTGTCATGATGTTGATAATATTACTTTTAAAAGGAGGACAATCTTAATTGTTAAAAGGATGTGTATTTCTTGTTTTATATCAGCATACATATTTTATTGTAAGCAGCAAAAGTATTTAATTTAAATCTTAAAATACTGTATATGATACTATTGTTTTATAAAATATATGTACAGTATAAGTCTGTATACGTCTTGCCATTATACTATACTTTAAGAATGTGTTGCATTCAACCACAACTTACTTCAGTTACCTTGAAATTGTATGTATTTTTAATCACCATTGTGACATTGTGTCTGAAGTTTTAGTGGCAATCGTACAAAACATTCTGTTAACTGAAACATTTCATATGGAGTTCTTAATACAGATTTCATTGCCCCGGAAAATGTTTCAAAGGTTACACTGCAAATTTGCACACACTGTAGATTTTGAAACACATCTGTAGATTAGGAAGAAAGTAAATTAAATTACTATTCCAAAAGATACAGCTTTACTCATGTGTTTGTTTCATTGAAAACATACAGTACCTGTGTTATTTAATAATAAAATACTGTTCTTACCTTCAATGAGGTAAAGTGTTATTTAATGCATTGAATTGTTTTCTAAACATGTTGTTTCTGTTGCTTACCAAATATTCACTTTGGTTACTTGAAGATGCAATACTTCTATCTGCTTCTTTTTAGATACTGTACATAGAATTACTTTTTTTCAAATAACACAAACAGATTGTATCTGAATTCTTCATGGATGGCTTAAATCATTTAAGTCATAGTAATATAGTAACTGTGATAACAACAGTAAGGTAGCAACATAAATCAAAGGAACAAGTAAAGGTTTATCCCATGCTGATAAGAATGGAATGTGTCACACCTGAAGAAGGCTTCATAGCCAAAACATTGTCTCTTTTCTTTTAGGCATGGAATAAACCTCTACTTGTTCCTTTGCAGCCTGTGAATGCTGACACAGCTATCTACTTGAACTTAAATCAAATACAGGTTGCCAATGGGATACTTCACACCACTATCCAGTATTTCTCTATCAATACAATTATTTCCTTATCTGAGATGAGGAACAAGTCAGCTGTGTTGCACAATTTTGTATTTCTTTGTGGTCAGGCAATCCCTTCTGTAGACACGACCATTTCAGGCCACCTATGACTTTTGTGTCCCTGTAAGATAAAAAAAAGATGAGAAGCAGAGAAAGAAAAAAAAACATATCCACATAACTGCCAATATAATAAGTGATTTTTAAAGTTGAGCCATGATCCATTCAATTTGTTGCAAACATAGAAAAACATCAGAAAACTCCTCAGACTTTTTAGAAATAAAGCTTCATTTCAGTCTCTCATAATGGAGTTTTTAATGAAAGTTCGGGAGGAATGAAGGCAGCCAAGCTCATTTGACACAGCTGCTGCAATTCCCACTAATTCTGACGTAAGCAACCGGTCTCCATATATATCAAATGTCACTCTCTCCTCTTCCTTGTTTATTTTCTGCATCCCTCCTCCACCCCCTCTCCACCTTTGCAGCTGCCCAATTGGTTGCATGGGGGTCCTATCTGTGTTGCTGCGTTGACAGATGCAGTAAGGTTGGTGGAGTGCCACCGGAGCAAAGAATGCAAAGAAGAGGTGGTTGATGTCCCGTATTTATATTCAGGAAAACAGGTTATTGACCGGACTTAATCCCTCCCAAGCTTTCTTCCTACTCTTCATTTTCTGTTCTTACAACTTTCTAAATGTACATAAATAATGTCAAGGACTTCCTTTGTATGTCCTACTGATAGCAATACTTTCTTTTGGATTTCAGTCCATGTTAAACTGTGTTGCTGTAACCAAATTACATATTTTATTACTTACACACCTCCTTTTGCTTTATTTCAAAGTTGTGTATGACTGTTTCAGGAGCATTAAACTACATTTTATTTTAGGTTCGGGAACACTTCTCAGATTGATTTCCAACCTTCTTTTGAGAATTATATTACTTTGATATTCAATAGATTTTTTCTCCAATGTTACTTTTTTATTTGTATATTTTATAGTTCTATTGAAAAGTAGTATTGTAAAATACTTTAGTATTTTAATATTCTTCAGTTGTGTTCCAAACTAAGAAATCAGCTCACATTGCTCACTTGCCCTAATCTATGAAATCATTCCTCTACAATCTATAAAGAATTAATTTAAGATAACAACTGTTTCACTGAACATCTGATATAAATGTCATGAGAATGTACAGCATATTTCCTGCCTTTATTTCATTTATTTCCAGTGTTTCAAATTTCAAAAGATTTCTTCTAAATAAACAATTCTCCTAACACAAAGCTAGCCTGAAGATTATCAGTACCTCTCTAGCCCACACTGTGTCCAAACTTTCTATTTATATAGTGATTTTAATCTTGAAGCATCACTGAGTGCTTTGCAGGCAGGGGGGGACCCACTTCATCATCCTTTGACATGCACCGCCCAACTGGTTGACATGAGAGGTTGCCTCACTAATTGAATTAAGAGGGTTTTTTTAGGTAAACTGCGCAAGCGCAGACTGGAATTTAGCGAAAAGTGTAGTCCAGTGTACCATGCAATAATTAATGACTAATGAGTTTGGACCAAGTTTAATCTGAAGCACAGCGCATTTTAAAGCACAGTGCTCCCAGTCATCAAACCAAAACATTGTTTTGGAAATTCTCATCCAGACGAAAGTGAACCACCTAATGGTCCACCCACACCATCCATAGTAGCAGCATGGTATGCTATCCTAGTAATGACCACACTTAGCTATGCTTAGATTATGATACAGGTAATAAAGTACTTGATCTCCAGAATGATTTCAAAGCCTAGAAATCCCTTAGCTAATAAATTAACAATTGTAACAAAGTAACGATTGTTAAAATGTATAGTGTAATTTGTCTTACTTTCCCAGAGCCTCCACATCCTCAGTGGTCTCTGGTAGGTCAATGCCTTTTGTTTCAGGTAAAAGAAGCACCAAACCTCCATAGACCAAGGCCATGACTCCTGACAAAACAAGAACTTTGTATGTTATTTATATTGTTAGGGATGCACTCATACATGTTAATTATTTTGATGAGATACATTTTATTTATGATTTGCATCTTTACCAAAATCTTGGTTTGAACAGATCACTAGCATTTCTTCATTTTAGAATTTCATTTTATTGTGATCTTTTTCTGTTTTGGCATGTCAGTTTTGCATGATTAATTATTATACAAAATTATACAAATTATTATTCAATATTTTATACTGGCCAATTACAGCTTTTTGTTGCCAATTAAAACCTACCAAACTACAGTACTCCTTTTTCAAACAATATCAAAAATCATTTAAAAAATATTCTTACTGATTTTCAGGTCTAGTGCTCTCTGAATAAATTACACCAACATTTAGAATTTTAATGTAGATAAACTCATTTATTTTTAATGTGTTAATGTTAAGCAACACAGCAATGGAAAATGGATGGAAGCACACAGTAAATCATAATTCACTGGCATTTCTGGGACAAAAGCACCTAAACACCACCGTGTCCTTGTATCAGTGGCTTTATACTGGACACCAATGATTTGCAATAGTCCTAATTGGAGATCAGAGTCAGTGAAGACAGAAACTGTTGCAAGTGATTCAAGTACCTCAAATGTAGAAATTATTTTACATCTGTATGCAGTACAGTACATCTACAAAGTGAAAATAAAGTGCTTAAAAATATAGAACTTTGATACTCACCATATAATAACATTGGTAGCTCTATCCAAAAACTTGCTAACCTGTATAGCAAGAAGGGGGCTACAATTCCTCCCACATCACTTAGCGAAGAGGTTAAAGATAATCCAATGTTCCTGTGGTCAACATTTTAAAAAAGTGTTTGAGGCATGAATGGTACTTTAGTCATTAACCAGAAAAATTCAGAAAGTTGTATTAGTCTTACAGCTGTATTTTGTTTAAGTCATTAAAACAAAATTAAGGCCAGGGGTGACTAGTTTAGTTGTGTTTCTACCAAACCCATTATGATTTAAACAGTTATACTGTAAGCATCTGTCTGTGTATACTCAGAGTATGGGAGAAAGAAGGACTGAAGCCTGTCTATTCATGGGTAATAATGAGGTGAGGAGACCAGTAGTCTTCCTCATGGGAACAAATCTCAGGGAAAAATTTAAGAAGCCCATTAACATGTTTTGATCATAGAGAGAGTAAACTAGAGCACCGGGGGAAAAAAACAAACAATGGAAACAACAGGAAAATAAAACTGAAACCAAACCAAGACCTTGCTGCTGTGAAGCAACATTGCTAACCACCACGTCATTGTGCTAACATATATTTAGCATCAGTCAATAAAACATAAAACTGAAGTTTGGACCAATTTGAACAGAATTGTTAAATTTTAAATTAAATTTGAAAGGAATTGTAATACTGGAAGGGGTAAATCCATGCAGCACACCCATTAAGAAAAACAAACCTATATGGTATACAGTATCTTAACATACAGTAACATACTAGAGAATTTATGTAGTACACTAGAAGTGTGATAGTATTGGAACTCCCTCGCCCGGTGGTGAGGAGGAAGTGCACCTAGGTGCTCATAGTACCACAGAGCAGGCTGGGAGTTGTAGCCGGGGGGAGTCTGAGGTTCAGCACAATGACCAGCAGCTGACCCTGCATATGTAAATAGTAGCATAGTAGTTTTAGTGTCCTGTGTAGCCTTATAAGTGTATAGCCTGTTGTTAAGTAATTACCACCCTAAATATGTGTACGTGTTCCGTCAGTCTCATCATATGTGTGTATAGCCTGTGTTTGGTTTTGATAAAAGAATAAAGCAATCACTTAGTTAATTTATTGCATCTCCACTAGTCCTTTGTCCTGAAAGTGCTACATTGGTGTCAGAAGTGGGGAGGATGGACAAACCGTGGCAGATATTAGCTGATTCTGTCAAGCGCTGGCTGACTATAAAAGAGACTGAACCCACCGGCAGCACACATCTGGAGCCTGAGCAACTTCTGGGTGCGACAGGTGGCCACAGCCCTTACCAGGGCTACCTAGTAGTGGTCCCGCCTGTAGAAATGGGGCAACTGCCCGCTACTCCCGCCCAGCGGATGAACCAGAGAGGAGATTCTCTCCCTGCTGGAGCTCCTCAGCTATTCCCACACCTGCTGGTACAGCTACAACCTGGTCGCTACAACGGGGAAGCACCTCGGGAAACCTACGAGGCGCAGTTCCAGTTCACGGTCTGGATGAATGGCTGGAGCCGGGCAGAGATGGCTGGCCACCTGGCGGCGGCACTGGAAGGAGCAGCCTTCCAGGTGCTCCTGGATATCCCGGATGAGGACAGAGATGAATACGCGGTGCAGGCAGCAGCTCTCCGGCTGGGGGAAACAGGTGCTTGCCTTCTGTCTGGGTACATCGATGGTGCACCAACCCTGCTACCTTACACCCATCCAGGTAGACTGCATCCTGGGGCTGGACCTGCTGCAGCGGGCTGGGGCCAGTTTGGAGTTGGCCTGGCAGGAGTTGGTGTGGCAGGGTGAGTGACTTCACCTGATGGAGGGCAGGCCCGGCGAAGGTCGAGGGACACGGGCCTGCTGGAGCTGGGGGAAAAAGAGGCAGTGGGGGCGGCAGTCGCTGTGGCGGACCGGGCCTGCAAGCCGGGGAGCGAGCGTGACGGATCTTGCCCCAGAGTCACCCGGGGGACCAGAGAAGGCGGGGGCCAAGCCTTGCATGGAAGCGAGATGGGCTGTTGAGGACCTCTACCAGCGAAGCAGCGAGGGCCTCGATCGGGACCAGCGGCAGTGGCTCCAGGTGCTATTCGCCCAAAAAGAGGACCTCTTTGCGGCGAGAGATGAGGACTGCACCTGCACAGCCCTGGTCCAGCATGAAATCAACATGGGTGACGCTCTGGCCATCCAAGCGGAACGCTGCCAAGGAAAAGATCTGGGAGATGGCTGCAGAGGGGGTGATTGAGCCCTCCGTGAGCCGATGGTTGGCGTCATCTGTACTTGTCCGAAAAAAAGACAGCTTGTGGAGGTACCATGCCACCTGCCGAGGATAGCCGACACCTTGGACTACATCACCGGGTTGATCTGGTTCAGCTCCCTTGACCTCCACTGTGGCTACTGGCAGGTACCGCTCGCTCCCGATGCTCGCCCGAAGACGGCCTTTTCCATCGGCAAGGGTGCTGGGAGTGGGCTTGTCACACCTGGCGCAGCGACAGACGGCTGATCCTGACGTGGAACCAGTGCTCTGTTGGAAAGCAGCCTAAGCGCGGCCTAAGCGAGATAAGCTCGGCCTGCACCCAGAGTCTGTCAAGGCCCTCCTTGCCCTATGAGAGGCCTTGGAAGTAAAGGACGGGGTGCTGCGTCGGGGGTGGCAGGCACTCTCCAGTGGCAGCTGGTGGTGCCACAGTCGCTCCGTGGGGCTGTGTTCCGAGTGGTGCATGGCCAGCTGGGTGTGGGGCATTTCGGGTGTAAAAAAACCCTGCAGCACGTCCGAGACCATTTTTATTGGGGTCTTTGCCACTGGGACGTGGAGAGGTATTGCCAAACGTGTTCGGTGTGCATGGTGCAGAAGGTCCCCCCAAGTGCTCTCGGGCCCCCCTACAACAACACAAGGTGGGGGTTCCTATGGAGCGGGTGGGGGTGGACGTTTTGGGCCCATTTCTGCGCACCGAGGCCGGGAACCACTATGTCCTGGTGGCAATGGACTATTTTACGAAGTGGCCGGAGGCCTACAGATGCAGCCATTCAAAATGCACGGTACAAACCCGCGGTATGGTAAACTACCCACAAGCCACCGCAGGGCACCGTGGTAAGTGATTGGCTGACCAAAATGACCGACAGGGGCACTCGTGGTGCATTGGTTGGTAGTGAAAAGATTTAATCATTTAATCTATTTACTGTGCACATTTTAATCTGCTTAGTATTGAATATTTATATGGAATTTTACCACTAAAGGGAAATTTTTTGTAGCTGAGCATAAAAAGAAGAGGAGCATAACGCATCTGAAGTTGCATCTGAAGGTCATAAACGATATTAATTTAGGAACATAAACATTACTGTATGTAAACTGTACTGTGTATGGCTGGTCTTG